GGAGATTGAAACATAGGTCTACTCGTTGCTACAGAAGGCCATCCAGCACTATTAGATGTGGGTTTAACTGGTATTTCCTCAACAAAAAAAATCTGAGAAACTTCCAATCTATTCATCTTAAATCATGATACTAAAAAGAACACCGAAGGTAATAAAAATTACAATCAGGTCCATGGACCACCTAGCAACGACTAAAGCACTGGAGCGAGTCGAAGCCGCGCCGTCATCATCGTCCCTCCCTCGTCGAGCCGAGCAAACCTAGTTGTATTAGACAGTCGGGAAGTCGACATGCGAAGCCCCCACAGGACCAGCGCACCAGAGCAGCAATCATCGTCGATGAAGGAAGTCGTAGATCGAAAGCATCAAACATGTAAACACACAAACCAAGACGAACAAAATCGGATCCAAACAGATACACCAGAGACCAGCGCCAATCGAATCCCGCGAGCTCCAATGGAGAGACACTTCCACACGCTCTTCGCCAACGCTAGACGCATCATCGGAATGGGAGGAAAGAGATTCTCAATTTTTTTATTAACACAGTTACCCGGTTTTGGGAGGTTGAGGGGACGTTCCCATTTCGTTTTGGCCGCAAGCTGCAAGGAAGGTTTAGGCCTGCTTCCTGCCCGAAAGAAGGCTAGCCGGACTAGTGGTAGGGGACTGGCCGTAAAAGACCCTAACCCTACCCTATTCTCGAATCCTCTGCCGAGCTCTACCCTGCTCGCATTTATTTTGAAGGGGGCCAAGGAAATGTCTCCACCTGCTGCCAACAGTCTTTCTTCGAAATTCTACTGAATGGGTCGATCCTCCCCTCCGTTTGTTTTAGCAACTTATCCTAAGGTCTCTTCGCCAAGAACTCTCCGAAAACGATAGAGGAACTAACCTGCCTGGTTTCCCCTTATTCAGTTCCCGCCTCCCACCGTCGAATGCTATTTTTTTTGACAATAAATTTCTGCCAGAAGTATGCGGGGATGGATCAGCAATAGGTGGTACTGTTATGTTCGCATGGTTCAGTACCATGTTCTGAAGAATCTGATAATTATTCAGAATTAATAGTGCCTACTTCAGTGCAGGAGTTCTGAAGACTCATTTAGAAATCATCATATGTTAATTCCTATTTTGATCAGGCTGACTGTGAATATACAAGTTGGCATTATTTCCACGGTTAGTCTTCAGTAGCATCCCATGCGTGGGTGTGTTTCCCTCTCAATAATCTGCTACTGTTCAGAATTCATAGTCGGTTCAGTTGAGGCTTTTGTTGATGATCGGAAGTTTGCTTCTTGTCCAAACGAAAGTTCTGTATTGGGAGCCAAAAGTAATATCTGGGTCATTATTTACTAACACTGCATGTAATCCTTGCTATTGTGAAAGTTGCTAGACCAACTGATTTGTACACGTGTTGCTTGAAATTTTGCGGTATGCACCAATTTAGAGGAATCTCAAGAATCGTTGTAATACCAAAGGCAGGCCTGGCCTAGTCTTCGCTAGACATTTTCGGTTGGTTTCTAGGTATTCTGGGAGCCTGGTCACTTTTCTGCATTTATAAATTAGATTTTTTTCATCATAGAATGATTAATGAAAACCTGAGATTAGACACTCATGTATACAATGCACAGAAAGATGATAGATGGTCAACGTGTGGTTTAAGAAACAAGAAATGTCATCAAACATGAAAGGCCACCATGTATGTCACGAAATTTCAAATCCGATTTTGATCCACGCGTTAAGAAACAAAAATTGTGTAAATCATAATTAAAGGTACTCCTCACTCCTTATATTTTGAGTGCAAGAATTTTGTATGCCAGATCTAATATTGTAAATCAAGCTAGAGTATAATCCGTAAGAGAGAATATTGTCGCCAAACCAATAAAGTTTTATCATGGCATAATAAATCATACACAAGAAAATCTAGTACCGAAAAGGACTTTCGCCCCGCTTTATATATATAAAGCAACACGGCCGAACTGATACAAGGTGATAAGGAAAACCTCTACAAGAAAGAAAATCTAGTACAACCATCCACTGCACTCAACAGAGCCACATAAGCATCGTTTCTTCTTGATGTTACCTTCAGAGTCATGGACCCCATCTATGGTATAATTATAGTCATAGGCTAGTGGTTCAAGAGGCTGAATATCCTCACAAGCAAAGAGCATGATGTGAGGCATACCCTTGTTGTCATGGTCATAAAGAACATTTTGTGTGAAAAGGTTAGGGGTGCAGCTATGGTTAATGAACCTTGCAAGGTTGCCACATTTCAGTGCGTCCACTGCAAAGAAATTTTCTTCCTCTTCCCCAGGGCCATTCCTAAGTGAGGGGATAGTCTTTTGTAAGTTGTCCCAGCGGGATACATCATAATAGTTGTTTCCAATAAGGAACAAGTACTCATCATTATCCCTCTCCTGAGCATCTTCGTTATCCAACAACTCCCCTATATATTCACACACAAAACGCCCCGTAGGTATAAAATCAAGGCTTCGTACTCCCCAACCCATTGATGTTGTCTTGAAGACTTGAAGGCGAAAACTAATTCCATGTTGGCCCACTCTATTGCGGCAAGTTGGAGGGTACTTGCATGAAGGTCCACACTCGTAAATAAGAGGTTTTTCCTCTATGAGACCACCGGTCTTTCTGAAAGGGATCTTCCCTCCATTTTTCATTACACATGCACACTTTTGCGAGTCCGAACATGGACCAACACAGTCACAACCCGGTGGAGGATCTAGCTGATACTTCCCGAGGTATTGTATGTGTGAAATGTAGAAGAATGTTGCCGGGGCCTCGTTTGATATGGAGCTGATTGCGGATATAGGGATCTTCTCAAGACCTGCCGATATATCTACAGTAAAAATTCCATTGGATGGTTCGGCCATTCTTTTTTTCCACAAGTTCTTGAATGTTGATGCTCGGTTGCCCCGACAATCTTCTCAGACGAAAAGTGCTAATATGTTTGTCTTCCCTCAGTTTCTCTTTGCTAAATTTCTCGACCAAATATAAACCACCATAAACATAGTGTGTAAGCTCCTCACGGCCGGTCATAACAAACCTATAAATGACACGCACATGTGTTTTGGTATCCATACTCTGCTTTAGCGCCAAGTCGGTACCTTCCATCTTCTGGCCAGTGGTGGCAGCCACAGACCCAACATGTAGCAAGAAATCCAGATTGTTATTTTGGGCAGACTGTTGCACGTACAACACGATGCTAACGGCTAGACCTATCCTGCCCCCGTTCCGGTTGATGTAATCAACACGCGACTGCTGTGAACGATGAAGACCAACAAGGAAAAGCTCGGCGTCCGAATCAAACACGTCACCAACATGAACTCCAGGGACGCTGCCCACGTACCTCCTATCATCAAATTCAACACATAGCCTCTCCCTGAAGACTTGAAAAGCTGCAAGATCATGCTCTTGTTTCCTGCAGTTGGCCTTCTCTTGGGCCAGAAGCTGCCTGTAAATTACCCGGAATTCCTGCAAAGAAGCCATGGCGCTTTCTCTGCTGATGGCGACTCTCTTCTTTGGCATTGCACGATGACGACCACCCTTGTCAACCTTCGTTTTGTTGTGTAAAGAAGCAGCAGCAGCAACTCCTATATGCCTGGAACCATCCGTGGACTTGGAAATTCCAGCTGCAGGAAGTCCATCAGATCCGCCGTCCTGGCTTAAACCCTGTGACCGCGGCCGCTTGTACCCAATCTGAAATCTCCATGGCGCTACGGTCTTGCGTCCCTTGCGGCAACCACCCGTAGCGACTCCCGTAGCGGCAACCACATAGCGCCGTTTGGTTTGGCGGCCACGTTTGGCTCCCCGGTGCCACCATGGCCATAGAGAGCATCATCGAAGCAGCAGACCTTTGAGGTCGCCTCCATGGCTCCATGGGGAAGTTGCAGCTGCAGCCCCACCTGGAGACCTGCACTACACAGATTAGGCGTCATCAAAGATTGAAAATAGAGGGGAACGGACGGGGGACTAGGCGGTTGAGGATCGTGTTGTACCTGAAGGAGGAAACGGAGGAGGATGAGGAGACGAGATCCGCGTCTCAGGTGGCCGTCGTGAATTGGAATTGCCGGCTGTGGCTCCTAAACTTATGGGAGATTTTGTTTGCAGCCCCGTAGGAGATAAGTTTGTTTAACCCCCGAAACTATTGAGGTACGTACGTGCGCGTCCCGGTGTCCCGAGCGTCCGGCCGCAGCCCCGTAGGTACTTACTGTTAGAAGTTAATCTAGTCAATGTATGATTTAATTAATTGTTGATCATGCTCATGTGTTGATGCATGTTTGACTCCTGCCATGTGAGCCTGATGTAAGGTACATGCACATGTCGTGCATTGTGTGAGAGGACATGACACTGTGTGTCATGGCTGTCCATGCTTAGATCAGGAGCAGTACATTGTGAGTTGATGTGCTGCAGAGTTGTTAGGAGGAGTGGAGTGGGTCTCTGCTATGTAATAAGCTGAACCTTGCATTGGTTGCAAGTAGCACAGAGCATTCGTTGCTGAAAAAGAAAAAAAAAGAAGGGCATTTGTTGCCTGGAACCACAACTCGTGCGTGCCTCCTCTGACTTTCCTCCTTGCTCTGCTTCTCCTTTAGTTTCAACAAACACTTCGTGTACGTGTGTAACCACAGAGAGAAGAGAGATCGAGGGACCTGTGACCAACATTTGGCCTCAGAGCTAGATTCGGCGGCGGCGGCGGCGCCGATGGCCACGACGCTGGAGGGGCTGCAGAAGGCCCTGGAGGATGCGCTGGCCGAGATAAACGCGATGCGGCTGGAGGTGGAGGCGACCAAGGCGGAGTTGGCGGCGGAGAAAGAGAAGCTGGGGACTGTGGTACCGGTGGCGACGGCGCTGCCGGTGAGGTCCCGGGCGCCCATCAACTACCCACAGCTCACACGCAGCAACTACACGCTCTGGGCGATGCAGATGCGTGTGGCGATGCAGTCGGCGGGAGTTTGGGCGGCGACGAGCTCCGAGGACGTCGACCACGAGATGGACCGCGACGCCCTCCTCGCCATCTATCAGGGGGTGCCGGAAGATGTCCTGGCGTCCCTCGGTGGCAAGGACACGGCGAAGCAGGCGTGGGAGGCGATCAAGGTCGTGAACGTCGGCCATGACCGCGTTCGTGAGACGAACCTGCAGACCTTGCGGAAGGCGTTCGAAGCTTTGGAGATGGAGGACACAGAGGCGGTGGACGCGTTCGCGACGAGGCTGAACAGGATGGTGTCGTCCATCCGAGCGCTCGGCGACGAGGTTAAGGAGCTGACGGTGGTCCAGAAAATTCTCCAAGCTGCGCCGGCGAGGTTTATGCACTTGGTAACCTCGCTGGAGCAGTGTGTCGACTTGAAGACGCTCACCGTCGAGGACCTGTTTGGCCGGTTCAAGGCGCACGAGGAGCGCGTGCGTATGCGCTTCGGCAGTCCCGTCGACGGGCAGCATCTAATGTTGTCCATCAAGCAGTGGGAGGCATGGTCGTCGAGGAAGTCGAGCGGCGGTGCTGAAACCTCTAGCAGCGGCGGAAAAAGTGATGGCGGTAGTAGTCGCGGCGCCAACCGCGGCAAGGCTGCAGAGAAGCCACCACAAGCTGCAAAAGGTGAGAAAAAGAAAAAGAAATTCAAGTGTTATAATTGTGGTGAAAGAGGCCATTTCTCAAACGCATGTCCTAATCCAAAGAAAAAGAAAGAAACGGCGTTAGTAGCTGAGGTGCATGATGAGGATCCTGCTTTGTTACTTGCCAGTACATTCGTTGTAGTGCAAGGTAATGAAGAAGAGGAGAGAGTGTTTCTGCAAGAGGTGAATGTGAAACCAAAATTAGGAGATAATGCAGGAGAAGAATCAGATAAGTGGTACCTTGATACAGGTGCAAGCAATCATATGACAGGGTCGATTGAGAAATTCACTGAACTGGACAAAACCATTGTTGGGGCTGTCAGGTTTGGAGATGGGTCTGTTGTGGAAATTGCTGGAAGAGGTACAGTGCTCATCCTTGCACGTAATGGTGGTCACAGAGGCCTGACTGATGTATACTACATTCCCAAGCTCCGTAGCAACATCATCAGTCTCGGACAGATGGAGGAGCACGGCTGTAAAGTTGTTCTGGAAGAAGGTTTCCTCAGGATCTTTGATAGAGATCGATTTCTGTTAATGAAAGTACCAAGAGGGAGGAATAGATTGTATACCATAAATCTGAAGATGGGCACTCCTGTGTGTCTGCTTGCATCAGTTGCAGACAGGGCCTGGTTATGGCATGCTCGGTTTGGGCATCTGAACTTTGAAGCACTCAAGTCTCTAGCTCAACATGACATGGTGAAAGGATTGCCGCTTGTTAATCATGTTGGACAAGTGTGTGATGGCTGCTTGATTGGCAAGCAGAAACGTGCATCCTTCCCCAAACAAACATCTTACAGAGCAACTGAAAAATTATCTCTTGTCCATGCAGACCTCTGTGGTCCAATAACACCTTGTACACCTGCTGGGAACAAGTATTTTCTGCTGATGGTTGATGACTTTAGCCGGTATATGTGGCTGGTCCTGATAAAGTCAAAAGATCAAGCTTTCAGTGCATTCAAGAAGATCAAAGTTTCAGCAGAATTGCAAGTAGGCAGCAAACTAAAAATGTTGCGTACTGATCGAGGGGGTGAGTTCACCTCGAATGAGTTCAATGTCTTCTGTGAAGAAAGAGGCATTGCAAGGCAACTCACTGCACCATACACACCTCAACAAAATGGAGTGGTTGAGCGAAGAAATCAAACAATTGTGGCAATGGCTCGAAGTTTGCTAAAGAGTCAGGGAATGCCAGGGGTGTTTTGGGGGGAAGCAGTGATGACGGCTGTTTATTTGTTGAACAGATCGCCCACCAAAAGTGTCATTGGAAAGACACCGTATGAAGCTTGGCGTGACCGGAAACCGAGTGTTGAGCACTTGCGTACATTTGGATGTACAGCTCATGTGAAGGTGACTGGACCGTCAGGTGGGAAACTTGCTGATAGGAGTATACCCACGGTGTTTATCGGCTATGAGCAGGGCACAAAAGCATACAGATTGTACGATCCAACATCAAAGAGAATTTGTGTCTCACGTGATGTGGTGTTTGAGGAAGGAAGAAGATGGGACTGGAACACTGCTAGTTTGCCCAGACATGGTGATATTGAAGAATACTTTGTGGTACACATTGAACCAGAAGTAGAAAATTCCACCTCTGTTGCTCCAGTACAGATTCAAATTGAAGAACACGCAGCTCGGACACCAGGATCAGGGGGTATGGGAACTCCAGGAAATTCAGCTGTGTTGGCTGATGCAGGAAGCATAGCCACAAATCAAAGTAGTGTGGCAGAAATGCCTGAATCTACTCAATTTGAAACTCCGCAAAGTGCATTGAGAATGCGTTCTCTTGATGAATTGTATGATGAGACATCTCCAAGCTGGACTCCTATTGATATGGATCATGTCCAGCAGCTAGAATTGTGCATGCTCGGAGAAGATGAACCAACACATCATACTGAAGCCTTAAATCATGAATCATGGAAGGCTGCAATGAAAGATGAATTAAAATCAATTGAAGACAATGAAACTTGGGAATTAACCACACTTCCGGCTGGTGCTCGTCCTATTGGTCTGAAGTGGGTTTTTAAACTCAAGAAAGATGCTGCAGGAAATACCATTCGCCACAAGGCACGACTGGTGGCTAAAGGGTATGTGCAACGACGAGGAATTGATTTTGATGAGGTGTTCGCACCGGTAGCAAGGCTGGAAACAGTACGGCTACTCATTGCAGTTGCAGCTCAGGAAGGATGGGAGATACATCATTTAGATGTGAAATCTGCTTTCCTAAATGGGGAGTTAGAGGAGGAAGTCTATGTGGTGCAGACTCCAGGCT